CACTGCATGTTTCCACGATTTCCTCATTCTTTTTGGTCAAGCAATATTCGAGCTTTAACCTTAGGGTTAAGGGACAAACTGATCGTGTATTCAACATCTTAACTTTACTGCACATGCAAAGGATGCATCCCGAGTGAACTTTTAAAAATGCCATGTTTTCTCAACGTTTTCCTAAGAAAGAGTTTTGGATTTCTCACAATCTTTCCTCTCAAAGGAAAGACTGTACCTGAAACACTTACCTGTAATAAGTGGGGAACATTGGGCGTGGCCAAACTGGTATGGAACGTTCAAAGCCTAAGTAGATGACCAACAGTCTTCAACAACACAGAAATGGTCTACCTCACCAACAGTTTTCAAGAACACAGCATGGTCTACCTCAAAGCATACGTTAAGGAAACTGCCAAAAACGTCATAGGAGGAATGTTTCTTGATGGTACATTCGTAAGAAAAGGCCATTACAGAGTTGACTCTACTGGAAACACCGCCCTTATTTCAAAGTCACTAATTAATGAGTTTCTTAAGATATTAGCATTTCATGATAAAAATTCTTTAAGTTTGAGTTATTTTTTTGGCAACTTGCACAACATTGTGAGAACATTGAAGACCTATGGTCATGAAGCAGATCTGCGACCAGCAGCTAAATTGGAACAGATTGTTACAACACTCGCTATTACTATAAGGTGAAGCCGGCGAAAGTTAGACGAAACTTAGAGCTTCAGACGAAGAAAGTTGACGTTAACGAAGCAGGTGCGTGGCTGGAAACAGTGGTTCACGTCCAAGAGATGGCGCTTGGTCGTGCAAGTACTAAAGAGAATCCTGAACAAGAGAAACCCTAAGTCAAGTTATACCAAAAAAAAAGTGGTTTCAGAAAAAGAAGGATGTGCGGAATGAAACTCATGCAAATTCATTAGCTAAAAAAAAAACGTTTTGTGTGCAAAGGAGAAAATGAACTGACATCGTGTAAAATTATCAGGGAATCAACAGTAAATGAAGAATGGGAATTAGCAAAGAAGATGGTTTTGTGTTTTTGGTACCTCTAAGGGGAACATCGAGATTAACGGTGCTCATTAAAAGGGACATGTCGAGTGGAAGGGTGTGTGCAACTACACCACCCACAACTTCATGCAGCCATGGAGCTACCACAGTTGAACCTGTGGGCTAAGACATTCCATCCCTAGCAAGGAGTTACAGGATAGACTTCTGCAACTGGGGCACCAAAATAACACTCGAATTGTAGAGTGAAGTCTACCACACCCTGCAGATGAAAATGGTAATATTGGAGAGGAAAAACGGGATAAAGATCAAAGCAAACGGCTTGGTTCTGGGTCGTCCACTTTAAGGAGGAGATCGCTGATATATTAGGTTTGAATGCTGCGTGTAGACCACTACGGCTTGCTGTTTTGGGAGCGAAGTCGATTGTGACGGTTAGCAAAAACTGTAATTGTTCGCGTAGAGAGAGTCGATAGGAGCGTTAAAAAGCACGTATTTCTGTGGACAGCCCCGAAAATGTGTGAAATGACAGCAATTGATTGGTAGTACTACCCTAATGCGAGAGAAATAGATCATCTTCGCTATCCGGAGATCATAAAGCCTGTTAAAAATGGAGAAGTTAAGTTACTGATTGGAAATGATCATTATGAGGAACTCCTTGTACCCCTTAAACATCACATAGTAAACCGGGCGACGATTGAAGATACTACTCGGATGATTTATTGTTGGATATGTGTCGTCGGAAGTAGCAAACGAGTGTCATGCTGTCTACCCATTCCCTTCAACTTTTACTCCAAAAATGAGGGCCAATGAGCTGATGCGTATGATTTAGGATGAAGAAGTAGTGGGAATCACTGATCGAAACAAGCCTTTGACAGCAGAAGAGGTGCCTGCTGCCAGCAAAGGTGACAGAATCAAGGCGTTATATGCTGAGTGGCGCTATAAAGTGGCTATTCCATGGAAGGACGGTAAACCGCCGTTATACTGCAACAGACATATTTTACTTGATGCGATCGATGGCCGAACGTTGCTGAGAAATACTGCCAGGTGATGGAAGCAAATGAATCCAAGGGACGTTGGAGTCAGGAGAAATTGATGATGGCCCAATTGAAAGTTGGGTACCTACCTCATTTTTCTGTAGTGAGAGAAGACAAAGAGACTACCAAAGGGAGAAGAGTTTTAGATTCAGCAACCAGATATGGCAGAATAAGCCTTGATGATATCATGTTGCCTGGGCTTTAACCGCAGCAAGATGTTTTTGATGTACTATTGCGTTTTCGCAGTGATCCTGTAGCCCTAGTAGCAGATCCGGACGGAAATGTTCTCACAAGTCACCGTGGCAAAGCAATACAGACTGTACTTCCGCTTTCTGTGGAGAGGGTTAGTCCTCTCGAGACGTCTGAAAGTCTATAAAGCAATAATATTGATGTGTGGTGACCGCGTCTCACTTTACCTTACCCAGTACGTTGTGCAAATCGTGTAGAAGATAACAGAAATGACTACCCGCTAGTAGTAGCCATGATCCCTGACAAATGTGCGTGGATGACAATAACTTCCTTGGAGACTAAAGATGAAGCTCGAGACCAGCATAGAGAGCTGCTCGGAAAGGCAGGCTTCAAAATACGGCGTTGACTTTGGAGCATAACAGGCCAGAGCCCCGATTTTAGTGCGCGCAGGAGGAGGCCTAATCTCCACAGCAACCACCGCAAATCGGTTTCCAATAACAGACAAGGTAATTAGTTTTAAGCATTCCTCCAGACACCTTTGGAGAGCGCCGGACACATTGCCTGTAAAGGAACTTTGTACTTCTGATTAAACGAACCAGACATCTCAAGGAAACGCGAAATTTGATCAGACTATTTGGGTATTATAAATTCATTTCACGGTCGATTGAAAATTTGTAAGTCGATCTTCGCGCCTCTGGCTTCGCAATTGATAACTACAGTTTTCTCGCCGCATTTGGATCAAATAGGCTTGATACGCTTTCAATGGTTTTTCAAGTGCTTTCTTTTAAGAAAATAGTGCTCCGATGGCTTATTTAACTTCTGTCAAGAGTAGTATGCCGTGTCAACATTGGTGACCTTCGAAGCGAAAACAGCGAGTCGGCGTATCAAGTTTTTACTGTGGAGCCACAAGTAGGAATACACTCTCTGCTGGCACATCTTTCTCCGGTTTGGAAGGAACTCGGCGTGGAAAAGAACCTGACAAAAGAAATTTTCTAATCTTCTCTATTTGAACGTTTGAGAAAAGCCGTCAACAATGCACATTTTATAGTCGCCGGAGAAAACGAATGCAAGAGCTCGAGCTCTACTTCACATCTCTTTGAGGAACAGCAAGACCGATTATCTGATTCAATGGACGACCTTTTTGATCAAACGGTGAAGGATTCAAGTCTTTTTTCTCTGGCTTGAGACGATGTAAGCGTCGATGTGCCTCCAGTGACAAATCACTTTCCAAAAAGCCCACCAAGCACTGTCGAAATCCCGCCAAAATCTTATTAGCTGGAAGGAGCCCAAGACGCTGGATTACTCCAGATATTCTAGCTTCCACTTCAACATCTTCGTGTTCGCTTGGGCGATCTGTATAATCAACGTCACAGATACAGTATGGTTTCTATATCAGTCATTTTAGCCTCCTTGAAATGTCAATCATAATCCAAAAATTATTATTTCAGGTTACCTTTGTATTGTTACTTGCTTCTTACTTAATAGACCAAATTATAGGGCTAAAAAAAAAGAACCTGAGCGATGTAATTTAGTAACTTATTCATGGTGTTCAGCTTCCGGTTTATTCAGCTTTTTGACAGTTGTAGGCAAAGTTCACGCGCACATTATCGCATTCTAACTGGGTCGATTGTGAGGAAACTGTTATGTCAGTCATTGACTAAAAACCCCCGCGCGTTAAGCCTTCGTGCGACGGACGTCCCTTAGAAATATAAATTGCCCACACTGATCACCAATTCTACTTGCAAAGTGTTGCTGATTGAGTTGTGTAATGTATTCTAGAGTGTAAATTTAGTACTAACCTCGCAGACAAGGATGCAATGAGACATTTATTTTGCGTAGTTAGGCCTGCTATCCATTGGGCAACCATCCCTTTTATTTTCTTTCGATAGCCTGTCCATGCACAAGCCTTTGGGTACAGAAACTAGCTGCCTCTCGCTGTACCAAAACTTGATAGTTTTGGCGTTCAATATTTTTAACGGGTGCTCACAAAACACCGGGACTGCATCGTGCGCCTTTGGCGCTTTAGTATCCTGCAAGCTTTGATTCATCGCGTTTTGAAAGATGGAAATTTTGATATTCCCGCGAAAAAGAAGACGGATAAAACGCGTCTTTCATTGACTATAGTGAAACGCCGGGAAATGAAGGATGTTTTGAAAGAAGCGGGAAAACTGATAAAAGTAAATATTTGTTTTGATAAGTGAAATTAATGAGAAATAACCATAAACTAGTTTTGTGTTTTTGTTTTTTAAAAGCGGTTTTTCTGGTACCAGATTTGTACAATTACTTTCAATCAAACATGGATCGGGTTTTGTTAATTATGACAGAATGTAATTAAAAAGCATTATGTTGACAGCTACAAGGCACATGCTTGCCTTAAGCTGCGAGTATCCCGCCATGTTTTAAACAAAGGGCCTCTGACCAAGCCGGCATTCTAATCCGCCACAAATATGTGAAGCACGCGTCTTTCAAAGTCGCCTAGTACTTAAAATCGGGGCTCTGTAGTTTACATGGGGATGGAGCACACTATATCAAAATGGAGCAAGCTAGACATCGATGAATTTTAATTAAAGCAGGAATTTTTGCAGGGTTGCCAGGACCTTAATCCCTCCCTAGTAATAAAGCATACAATCCAGAAACCAGGTTATTAGCGTAGGGTGGCTAATAAACATATATACAAGGGAATATAACAAATGAACTAATAACAGGATCTTTCAAGATTAAGGACATTTACAATAACTATTAAAAAACCATAATTCCATGGTAATAAAAGGATCTCTTAGCCACTTCTGTTCTTATAGCAGGCAGATGCAAGAGATTGCTCTGGCGGGTTGAAGGAACACAAATGTCCTTGTTAAAAACAAAGTAGTTCTTAAAATACCGAGGGCACCGACCATGTATACATTTCCTTACAAGCCTTAGGATGTGTTCATCGCGACTGGAACTAAGACTTGGCCACTTCAAAGCTTCATCGCAGTGTCTCTACTAGATGTTTTAATTACAATTCTTCCAACGCGCTTCTGCAGAGTTTCTAGAGTTCCCCTATTTACCTCCTCACAACACCCCCTTTGCTAATATTATTAAACGAGGAGTACCACACATATTCCTATCGATTTGTGTGTCTCTACTGAACTCAAGTTGTGGTCAAATAGTGAAATACAACGGCTGAACTCGTACATTGCAAATCAGTTCACTTGAGGATACCACTATCTTTACTATGTTTTTTTTTCTATTGCAGATGTCAATGCAAGGAATAATTTTCCTTGGATTAATTTTGGTGTCAGTGTGGACAGTTGAAGGCAAGTGAAATTATGATTCGTTTGTATTGTCGTCTTTTACGGTTTTTTCTTGTCTGTGTTATGTATTAACAAACCAGCTAATATAAAACTGTAGCACAAAACAAAAAAAGCACAAAAAAAGTATGGGCAAACACATTATTTTGAGTGTAAATGATAATAAACAGCTGAATAAATGAGCAAGAATGAATTTTTCGTTGATAAGCAAAATGTTGGGGTTAATTTAAAACGCTCTAAGGCAATCGAAATGCTGAAATTGTTGTTATAAATTATATATATATAAAAAACATTACTCCATGTCGGCTTATTTTCTTGTAGATTGTAGATCAGCCGCTGCCATTATCCGCATGGGAAATCCACCGACTGATAACACTGGACATAAATCGTATTAATGCATCCTTTCATTTTTTTTAACAGGTTATTATTTTTAATGAATGAAAGAGCAGGCCATTGAGATAAAAAAAGGGGGGTCATTATAACGAATAATAACCTACTGTTCCATTTTAGTGGCCACAATAATGACCTGCTGGTTCTAAAACAACTGAAAGGCGCATTCAATCGGATAATGACCTCGCTCTTCAGCCTTCTGCCGCTTCTTTGTAAGAGGGCTTCGGGCTCAAGCATTATCCTGTATATATTACAGTGCATCTTTACGTAATGTATTACTGACCTTTTTTTTTTTTTTTTTTCAAAATTTGTAAGATAATCTAGGACGGTCGAAACTAGTGACACTTTTGAAACGTAGTAGAAGGTGTCCCTGTTCGGAGTTAGGGTCCATCCTACCCCTAATCCTACATATCGGGAAATTGGGAAATAATCCCTCAGGTTAGGCAAGAATTCGATGATCCTTCGATAATCATCAATTTATTCACTGCGTGAATTGGGTATTTTATTTCGAGGAAATACTTTTTGCCTCAAATCAAGGGTGGGCTTTTAAACACATTTTTTAAGCCAAATGGTTTTTTGCGTGAATCTGCTTACCCAAACGTTTCGTAGAAAAAAACGACAATTATCCGACAAAAGCTCGTGTTGTATTTGGTAGTGGCATATTTCCGATAAATTCAGTTCAATGTCTCGTGAAGAAGAGTTCAGATCCGTGCCGCGCGCCACACGAGGTAAGCGTTCTGTCGAAATACGAGCCCAAAAACAGGTGGTAAGCGGTCAATCTGCAAAAAGTAACGCAATCTCCGTCCTTTGAGAGCAGCCGAAGATGCTCTTGTCGCTAATGTCCTTGCTGTTTTTTATTTCCAATATCTAGGAAGCCCTACCCATGCTAAGGTATGAAACGTACACTCGTAGGCATTGTTCTGTCCGCTAAAGTCTAATTCCTGGACGCAAAAACGTTGTGCTTTTTGAAGTTTAGGGACCGATCGTTTATCACGTCCCAGGGAGGGGAGGGGGCGGGGATTTTCAGAAAAGTGTGGTGTATGAAAACTGTACCCCCCTAAAATAATTTCATATGAAAATTGTACCTCCCCCCCCCCCCATTGGCGACAAGAATATTTAAAATGGTAAATGGTAAGGTCACTTTTCGGAAATTCCAACCGAAAATTGAGGAGTACGTTTTGAGGTAGTCCGTTCATTCCGGTTCGTGTAAACCAAACGGAATGTTGCTTACCATTAACCAATTTCTCGGTTCCTTCTCGGTATCACACTCGCGCTACACAAATTCGCCCTTTTTTGGATTCAAACCGTAACGGATGTAGTAATTCTGCGGTAAACTGGTATATCGCTTCATGCTTTCGACTCCCCGAACGGATTTTTCTGTCAAATGGTAAGCACCCCAAGTTTTAAGATGACTCGATTTTCTCTCCTTCTTGGACATTGACTTCATATGAAAGCTACAATCTTGGACAAAACTGTTAAGAAAATTGTATACTTGGACAGCATTTTTCTAAACATCGTAGCTGTACCGGTTCTTCCCTCTCCCCCTTCCCCTGAAAGCAATGTTGTTGTGTATTCAAAAGAAAGCCTGATCCCTGGGCGTTTGTGGGAAGCAACATTGAATTGGGGGAAGGGGTTTTCTTTCCGCAAAGGCGTCGTTTTGGAAATAGCCTTGTTGCGTAGGAAAGTGGACATGATGGGGAAAACTTTCTCAAGTAGTTTTGTCCGGGATTGTAGAAGGGGTTCTGGTAGTCTGGTTAGGTAAAAATAGTTGATAGGGTCCTGGGACAAGCTTGGTTACATGGCATTCAAAATGGCGGCTACCAAATCAAGCAAAGATGCACGTCAGGTGGGGCTTAGCTGGCGGCATGAGAAACGGTGTGAAGTCCGAGAAAAGTCAACGAAGGGAAAGTATTTTAGATCTTCACTCCAGTGTCTTGATAGTAATGAAATTTTGTTATTGCTGGAGTCTATTCTGCAGAGGTCAAAGCAAGGGACGCAGACGAATTGTACAGTTCGAGGTCTGAAAGCAGTGCAAGAACATCTGATGCATGGATATGGATACTTACGTTTGGAAGAAGCCTACAATCTATATTCTTCATTCAGTGAATTTTCCTGTCCAAACAAACAAGCCTTCAGAGATAAATTGCTTGATCCTCATCACGGCTGGCCTGTCTACAAAGAGTCGTCAGCGCGACTTTTTGGTTTAGTAATAAAGGAAAAGTGGTTTAAATTTCGACCCCCCTCAGACTTTGTACATTGGCTAAACTCTGCTTTTCTTGTTGGAAAACGGCTTTAAATTTTATCAGATCGCTCGATAAACACGTGGTGGTTTCTGATAGCTGATAACGTTAAACCACTGTTGCTCAAACTGATTTCTTATTGCATTTTTTCTGAGTTTTTAGCATCGGCCCGCTGAGTCTGGAAAGCTCAAATTTCAAAAAAAGTACTTCTTTTTTTTTCGGCCTCAAAAATTTTCTTTTAAGTTGCCCATAGTTTTGAAAACAGATTTTGAAAAGAGAGATAACGCTCTTTAACGTAGTATAAGACTCTTTAGTGAAATCGAGGTCCCAGTCGAAGATTTTGGGCTTTTGCCATTTTTTCATCGAACGAAAACGTTCAAAATATTGTACATAATAAAAAATCTCCAGAATATTACATTTTCGTTCAAACTGAGTAAATCACCAGTTAAAACGTGTACAATTATTTACTTTTCTGAATAAGTTATTTGTTGTCCGCATTACAGTGGATTTGAATTTTGAAACGATTTTTTTGAGACCCATGGTCTCGGGCCTGTAAAACCCGGTCCGAGAGCCGCGAAACGAATAACCCCCCTGTACGTCGAAAATAATCATCGGATCGAAGTAAAAATTACATTTTTGTTAATAGCTTACTTAGTGCCACTTTGTGAATTTTTTTGAGAATTTTCGTTTTTTCACTTTTGTAGACCTCAGGTCGATATTTACTGACATCCGCTCTTAAGCGTTAAAAGTTAGCCTGTCAAGAAAGTGAAGTTTGTGAGTTTTTATTTTAGACATTGATTTTCGCACTCCTATTTGCAGTTGTCAACTCTGAAGTATGTTCCTTTGCTGTTAACGGATCCAATGGGTTAATCAGCTCCAGTGGTACCGAGAACTACAGGCGTTGTACGTGGATCATCACAGCACCATCCAACCACACCGTCAAACTGATATTTACGACATTTCATCTATCTAATTTCTGGTATGGAGCCGAGATCCAAGTCTATGACAGAAAAAGGAAAAATGATACCGTACTGGGAGTTTTTACTGGAAAAAGACAGCCCTTCATAATACAAACAAGTGGTCGATTCATGATGCTGTCTGTAAAAAAGAAGTATTATTGGTCCACTTGTATCTTTGAAGGAACATATTACACGGGAAAAGGTAAGCTACCGTAAGTTATCAGAACGACAGAATATGAACTCAATAAGAATGCTAATTAGCTCATCATTAAAATGAGTTTGACTAATGGCGCATTTTAGTGACCCTAGTAAGAAGGTGCTGGGTAAGTTTTAACACACGAATTTACCTGTCAAAACTTTGACCAATCTGAAACTAGATTGGTTCTAGAGCGTGAACAAACGCGTGACCAAGCTAAAAACACATCTTTCAAACTTTCTTTGTGAAAGTTTTTTTTTTCCTAAGTTAAACAAACGAAATTCAAGATCTTTATTGGAATTTTCTCGCATCGATAGGTTTCAATATTTTATAGCAATGGAGGCTCCACCACACGTGGATGCTGAGGCTCCGCTAAATAATCTTGGGTTTCGTTGAGCGAGATGTTCTACGATACAAAGAGTATTCGCTAATTTTTTCAAGTATTTTTGAAGTAGGTTTAAGCAAATCTAATTTTGCTTGCAACCTGATATAACTTGAAATCGGAATATCTTGGAAACCTGCTATATTGACTTTTTCAGAAAAGCCGAGGATAAGGGTACCGTTGGCGGAGTTGCGAACTGTACCAAACCATTATATCTGGTTTCTGCTGGAAGGTACCCCACCGATTAACGTGACTCTAGTGAATACGTCAACATCTTTGGAGGGCGGTTTCATCAAAAAAGGATTTCAAATAAATCAGACGGGTACCTACAGGTACACACTACTAGCAGAAAACAATGAAGGAAATGACTCAAAAACGGTTGACGTAACCATTCTGGGTAAGGATTCAATGCTGTTAAATTTCTCTCAATGTAGATGAGACATTTTGCAATTAACAACCATAGTAGTTCGCTAAAATAGTTGTGTTAAATTTTGTCCTTATTTTATCTGTTGATGATTCAGTTCATTGGGTGAAAAATGAATGTACAGAATTTTTTGACTACTTGCTCTTGTTTCGCCATTGTTTTGAACACGGGTAATTTGTGTCCTTTTAGGTCTGTAAACGATGCGAATTTACCAAAATATAATATTGGAAATTTGGTCTCACCCTTAATCAATAAGTAAAAATGAAAATTCGTTATTCATACTGTATTAATGCATATATTGAAGAGTACCGCTTTCTGAAAAAATTCGTCCACCAACTGCCTTATTCTTGCGGGATTCATTTTACAGATTGCAATCATTGGTGTCGCAGTACAGGTTTGATAAGTTATGGCCAAGTTACCAACGAACATGACTGTAGTGAAAGCAACATAACACATAACTGGAATTGCATTCCAACTACAACCACTAAATTGTAAGTGTATTTCCTTTTCCCCCTTAGATTTATTGGTGTAATGTTTTCTTATTTTTTCAGTATGGACTCCGGTGTTTCGAAATTTTTAAAACTGTTTTGTTTTAATATTTTATCGTTTTTCATTTATTGTTAAAATTACCGTTGTTTTATCCCAGTTTCACACACAAGCTACAAAATCCTCCAAAATACCGACCCTGAAAGTAAGACATTCTTTTTGCAGCCTCCATGTACCTGTTTTATTTTAACTTGACAAGAGCGCCAGGCTACTTTCTAGTAATAAGCGCTTGAAAGGCTGACGATCAAGTGTCTCCATAACATTGCTCCAGATCTTTTTAAGAGTTATTTTATTAGGTCTTCACATGTTCATTCCACTAGGCGTAATGGTCTTTAGATATTTTAATTGCTAAAGTCCGTACAGAAACTGCCAAGAAAGGAACATTTTATACTGGAACCCAGGCTTTTAATAACTTGCCACCCCATCTTAAGGAAGTTGACTCCATTGTGATTTTTAAAAGACTTCTTAATGGTATTATTTTTTAGAGTTCTTGTAAATATTTTAGAGTTTTTTAGAGTTTTAATTGACGTAGTTATATAATTCTTAGTTTTTATATATCGACATTGTACATAGTTTTTATATTTTTCTGATAGTTGATCTGTTATAGTTATTTTTTCCTTTAATTGTTAACTTTTTAGTTGCCCAGGGCACCCATTTTATAACAGCTTCAGCTGACGGGTTTACCCTGAAAAATATGTTATTATTGTCATTATTATTATTATTAACGACTGAAGGTCAGCGCCATCTGGGAGCAGCTATTGCGTCGCAAGAATACAAAGATCAGTATTGTGAGGAGAAGGTTCGTGCATGGAAAGAGGAAATCGAACGTCTCTCTGAAATAGCGAAGAGCCAGCCCCATGCGGCGTATATTGCTTTCACAAAAGGCTACAAGTCGAATTTCACCTACTTCATGCGCACGATTGAATCGTTTGAAGATTATGTCGATCCAATCCAGGAAGTGATTGAAGATTTACTACTCCCTACTTTGTTCGGTCAATCAGAGCCTCTCCCTAACGAGGTGCGCAGACTTGCTACCTTAGCAACGGGTCAAGGGGGTCTAGGCATTCCTGATCTGAAATCCGAGGCACCGCAGCAGTTTGCTGCCTCGAGACTAATAACCACCGCCCACGTAGATTCTATTACATCACAGAGTTCCATCATGGTGCCAGGAGAAAGATCTACGGAGGAGCTAAAGAGGCATCAACAATCACTTAAGAGAGCAAGTGCCAAAGAGAAAATGGATAGCATTGATTCAAGCCTCTCCCCAGGCCTGCTGCGTCTGGTTAATCAATCGAGGGACAAGGGCGCAAGTTCTTGGCTGAATGCGATGCCTCTCGCAGACAAAGGTTTAGCCCTCAACAAGCAAGAGTTCAGAGACTCGCTACGCTTGCGTTATGACTTACCCTTAGTCGATTTACCAAGTCATTGCATATGTGGGGATAAATTCACCGTTAGTCACGCCCTCTCTTGTAAAAAGGGGGGGTTTGTAGCGCAGAGACATGATGGTGTACGGAACTTGTTAACGACATTCATCGACAAGATCTGCAATAATGTCGAAATCGAACCACGCCTTCAACCCCTGGACAACGAGCGATTTCATTTGAGGAGCGCTGTTACAAGTTCTGAGGCAAGGTTGGACATCAAAGCGGGAGGTTTCTGGGCAAGAGGAGTTACGGCATTTTTTGATGTTAGAGTTACGCACGTCAACTCCAAGTGTTACCAGAGCAAGCCAACATCGGAAGTGTTCAAAGAGCAAGAAGAAGAGAAGAAGCGCAAGTACCAGCAGCGGGTGTTAGATGTAGAAATGGGTTCGTTTACGCCTTTAGTGTTTGGAACCAATGGCGGAATGGGAAACGAGTGTCAGCGGTTCTTAAAGCATCTCGCAGACAAGATAGCTCAGAAAGACACCGAGCCTTATCATGTTGTAATCACTTGGCTCAGGACACAGATCTCGTTTGAACTCTTAAGATCGGTACATGCATGCGTCAGAGGTTCGCGAACGCCGTTTCGTAGCAAGCTAGAGCAATCATTAGACTGTAAAATAAATGTCGCTAGTGCGGATATCTGAAATACGTGTCTATATGCTTTTATACTTAGGGCTTTTTATGGACACTGGTTTAGCCGTCATTAGTATAATTCGATTGCAGGATCTTAATATCTCTGCATAATGGAATTCTTAATTTTATAGAATTTTGAACTTTTATTATTAATTATATCTATTTCCTCTTCTTTTATGTAAGGTTAAGTTACTTCTATTTTTTAGAATTTGTAAATGAATAGTTTTTTCTATCTTCACTTATAATATATAGGATTGTTTTTGTTCTCTAATGAAGGACGAGGGGTTTCTTTTGTAACGGATGGAATTGTAGATAGTGTTTTTGATGAATTAATTAGATTTTTTGTAACAGCAGGTTGATTGTAAATAGGATTTTAATTGAGGTTTTGTAATAAAGATTCTTTTCTTAATATAATTATTATTATTATTATCATTATTAAACTTTCAAATGAGCGCGCGTGCAATTCAAAACTTGACCTTTCATCAACAATGTGGAAAAAGTTTCGCCTGCATGCATTCACCTTCTCAATCGTTATCTATAGCATAACCTGTTGCACGCTATTGAATAAGATACACGTGGGCGCACGAATCACTGATGATGCTTAGGCGACAGATGTCCAAAGAAATGACACAGGTGCATCAAAACCTGCTGCTTGTTATTCAGCCTTCCTTCCTTCCTTCAAGCATGCAGCATGCAGTCTCTTTTATACCAGGGAATCACAGAGCCTTGCAAAAGCCTTATCTTTCAAATCGGCCCTCAAAATGCCCACGGAATCCATAAATGCTACCCTATCAACTAATTCATTATTATTTTTTACACATTGCCATGTTCCCGGCCACCAATAGCATTGCATAATGTTTAACGAGCGTCCGTAAATGAAACTAAGAATTAACATTTATCTTCTTTCTCATTATTATTATTATTATTATATTATCATCATCATCATCATCATCATCATCGTCATCGTCATCGTCATTATCATTATTGAAGATGACGTGAACTGTGAAAATAAAAGTTTAAAAGAAGATGTGGTCGTCGCAGTGTTAATTGCAATTTTTACAATTGCAAATAAACCCGGTTTTATTTGAAAAAAAAAGGTGTTGTTCCTCAATGAGTGGGTCTTCATAGCTCAAATGGTAGAGCACTGCAGCGCTACCCGCCATGGGTTCGAATCCTGTTGAAGTCCCGAATGTTTTTCGGTTTTATTTGCAGTTGCTTAAATTGTAATTACCACTGCATATCTTCATTTTAAATTATCACCTTCATCATCATCGTCATTATTACTATTATTTAAAGGTAAATTCTAATTATTTTCCACTATATAAAGCTTTACATTTAAACCTCAAAATAATTTAATAGAAATGGGTATCATTATTGTTGTCGTCGTTGTTGGTTTTTCCTCACTGACGTACAATTATTTCTTCTATTAAATCTCCTAAAATAACTCGAATTTGTAAGACAGCCAGAAAAGAAAAAATCTAGAATTGTGTTATTTTGCTAGCTTGATAATTTGTTCGTGTGAGATATATATGGTTTTTCAATTGGCAAGCGGATTTCCATTAAGATCTTCGCTAATATTTAAGTAGCAGGTTTTGCATGATGTCTTTGACCCTCTTTACTTTAATTTTGTTGCAGGGATTTATCGTCAAGCAAGATCGGGAAGCTCCCGCCAGGAATATTCATAAATCTTTCTTTTATGGAAAAGTTGTAAGATAACGAAATATTTTGTGTTGTTGTTTATTCAGTGTAATTAGTTGACGATATGGTAGTATACAGCAGCTATCTTCCGAAAAGGGACGGTGGGTGACGAGAGGTGTCGAGGTACATATTTGCCACTTTGCACTCTCCCTTGGAGGGATGATCGTTTTAATATTTATCAGTTGTTTACTTATTAAGTGCTATATTTTCAATTAATTGAAAGTGTTTCCGGGGATCTCATCAATTGCATTTTAGGAGTTTGTTGTAAATTATACAAGATAATAGTTTTCTATCTACAAGTAAACTGCAACAAGTCAAATTACGTCGCTTTCTTGGTATTTTCTGGTAAAGGTGGTTTAGTTGCCCCCCGCCCATAAAAGTGAATAGCTAAAGATATTTCAAGTTACGGGAGTTAATCAAAACGCGCACTGATTAGGTACAAATTAAATTTACGCTCTTATTATCTTAAAATATCACTCTCCTGGTCATAAGGAAACTTCTTATGGCAGCCTGATCGGACAAAAGGGGTTTATTTTTTTTCACCAACTGTCGTCTTTTGTAGTTTGTAAGTAACTCTCCAAACACATTTTAACCATTTTCAAAAGCTCTAATCGGGGTGTAAACATCTTTGCTCGGTTTGCAGAGAAATGTGTCAAACCCTCTCTAAATTCATGTTTAAATAATGTCATATCACTGCCTTTAAAAAGAACTATTTTCAGAGAGTTTCTTTAAAAAATATCCTTCGCGCCGCACACTTTGGGTGCGCCATCAGGGTGGTCTTTCTATCGTACCGTCATGTTGCTGCACCAGTGGGTATGCTAAGCGACTTTCCTCAGCTTAAAACACTTTACCACGTCGCTTATTTTTGCTTTTACTTTTTTCAAGTTTCGCTACTGATATGTAAGGTGGACTGGCTTACCTACGGTTATCAGGCTTTCAACCTTATCATCGCCATTGGACGCTGAGATTAGTTGATCTTCCTGAAAATTAGCCTCCCATGCACGGAGGCGTTTTTAGGGAGTCGCATTCCCTTCCTCTCCACAAAAACCTGCTAACCCGAAACCAACAATCCTTTCCAAATGTTTTTTCGAATGGTAAAGTGACCAATCAACAGTGAGATATATTTTCTTACAATTACCCGCGCATTCTATCTACCTTGAGATATGCGGACGCTGTGAAGTCAAAAATGATGAT